GAAGAGTACTACGTAAGCTATCAAATGAAGCTGACTAAAATATGTCTTTTGTTGTTAATTCATATGAATTACAATTTATATTTTGTACATTACTACTGAATCTAGAGTACGTGTCAACAAAATGACGTCACAAATTGGGATTAACTTTCGCAAATATCTCAAGAAATAAGCTTTTGAAACAAATTTTGTTACGATATATTTATTATTACTAACAAACTATACATTTTAAATGATGGAATGTTTTCGTGTCATATACACTTTAAAGCACCATATCACTTACGCGGTTTCCGACCGAAGCAAATATAGATAGACCTAAGTGATCTGAACAAAGGCTCAGCAAAACAAATTATCTACAGACAATATCAGTTCAAGAGGGGATGTGGATGTCTTAGGTTGATATGGATATTACTTCTTTCTTTCTCTCTTTCTTTCTTCCTTCCTTCCTTTCTTTCTTTCACCTGAGCAGCTGAAAAACTCGCAAAACACTGACATTTTCAAGACATAACTTTTTGATAGTTAGTATAATGATCATCTATAATGCATCATTTGCTTTTGTTAAATATTTTTTACCGTTACTAGTTTTTTCTCCTTAAATTGTATTTACCCTACATATTCCGTATTTTATTATGTGTAGTAGTTTTTGTAAAAGAATAGTTTTCAGAAATCCTTAGGTTTTTAAGAAATAAATGGCACTTGACATGAATTTCAAATAGACTAGAATTGGATGATATCTGCTGAGGTAACTTATCAATTTTTAACACCCAGATATTTTAATTCGTGAGCGGTATTTTGCTGATAAATAGATAATAATATAACTCATGGATTTCAAAACACGATGATGATTGGATGCTGATTGTTGGATGCTGGGAATATCTTCAGGCAATACCTGCCGCTGGCCATTCGGTCGTTGATCAATCCATTAGAAACGTTATACACAAAAGAAAAGGACGAGAAGAAGCTCCCTGCGCCACAGTCGTGTTAATTTTTCCAAGGTTAGTGTTCTTAAGAAATATTTATCTTGGAAGAATCTCTTCAGCAGTGATTTCCAACAAGTATTTTTACAAATTATTTAAGCGCATTTCCGCAATATTTTATATCTCGCGGTCATCTTCAACAATTCAATCAGAGATTTTTAAAGTAAAGTCTGGATTGTAGAAAAGTCGCATCTTGTTTGCTCTAGATATTTTGGAAGCTTCCAAATAACAATTGAATGAAACTTCATTTATCGGCTATACATCGGACGTACATCTTCAACTCACGTACGTGAGACTAAAATAAGCAATCATTTTATTTAACGCAAGGTCCAACTCAGTAGTAATGAATGCAATTATTAACTAATAGTAAGAGAATAATGCTAATAGTGTTTTTTTCCCTATACACGTAATTGAAAAAACGTAGGGTTCAATAAAGGTTATATCATCAAAGCTAAGACCGAAGGGGAGCATGGGAAGACAAACAATTATGCTAATTTCATGCGTATTGCAGTTTTCCCTTCCTGTGCACATTTTATGCATCATGGCCTTGGCATGTTGTTTATCTAGGTTGACCGACTTTGCTCTACTGTGCACTAGTTTACATGTCTATATGCAAATATAATACACATTTCCGCCATGTTGGTTGATCTAACAAGAGAAGCTAATGAGGAATGCTTTGTTATCGTTAACGAAGATGGTGGTTATGACGTAACATGCACCTGCTCTATTCATGAAGATATTCATCTCGTGATATACTTTGTAAGGACTTCTGCATGCAGTAACGCCCATCGTATCATTTCACTTTTCGACATGTCAAAACAACGGTCGGGAAAGGATGTTGTGCATGCGTTTGGCGACTTTTACCCTTGTTTGGTACCTAGAACACACATCCTTTTTGGCTGGGATCAGAAAACATAAAAATAGGGAAGAGAAATTTCTCCAAAATGAATGAAATTCACTGGGATTTTGCTTTAATTAAAGAAAATCAATGATAAATGAGAAAGAACCACTCCCCTCAGGGCTTTATGATAATTGTAATGGATTAAAAAGATGTACTCAAAGGTTTTCCGAATCTTGCTCCCGGCGCTTGCAGGAAACAATGACGAAAAATAGAAAAATATGGGAGATAATCCTACATCATAAAAGCTATACTCTTTGAATGATCACCCAATAAACAGTTCAGCGTAGGTTTATTTACATGTAAGCGATAGTATATAAGATAGTAATTGTAAGGGACTTTTACTGGCAAATATCTGGACTTTGATACTGTAATCTCTTCATAAATCTCTTTATTAAGATAACTTCTTCCAAAGTATTTTGAGCTTTTCCATTTTAGAAAATTAGAAGTGATTTGTTATCTTTATCGCAGGTTTAAGTTAACCATGGCAATCGAATTGATTTTTTTGTTGTCGATATTTGCAAATCTATCTTTTTGCACTTCATTTTATGCTTCTTGTCATTTACTTGTCCACAGCAATGCTCAAAAATTTTGATCAGCCTCACGGAAAGGAATGACCAATTATGAAGAATTTTGATATAAACGGCTTAGAAAGTAAACATTTAATGGGTAACAGGCTTTTTTGCATTTTTGTAACTATAATTGAAGTGACAGATAGACCCTTTCCAGGGCTTTTGCAACTTTTTATATGGACTAGGTAGCAAAATTCCATCGGATAATGCTGGAAAAAGCACCTCTGTTATATTAACTGTGATTTGCATGACGGATAAGGTCTTTTTTTTTTTTTTTTTTTTTTTTTTTTTTAATCTGGTTCCCTTTTTTTCGTTCATTCTGCATTTCATTTATCCTTTTTTTTTTTTTTTTGCTTCTAGTAAATATCGAGTTCAATTTTACGACTACTTAAGATAGCTTTCAAGTATTGAAAAACGCTGCATTTTGCAGCTGCTTTTCGACGATTCAGTCATCTCTTTACAGTTCCTTGCAGATGTTGCAATCACGATTCCAATATAAAACCAGTTTTACTAGATTTTTTCTTTTAACCAATCAAAAGCTAGCTGTGACAGGCTTTCGAAATCAAACAACTGATAAAAACTGGTTTTTGAGTTGACGAGATGTAAACAAACCGAAAATCATTGAACTAAAAACAAGTAACTTCCAGATCACAACTCGACTATTATTGGGGACATTTTCGCAGGAATTTTATCTCAGGAAATTTCATTTTTCTATTTTCATTGCGTAAAAAATAGGGTTCATAAAGTAAGATTATATTTTGCTTACATTTTTTAACCAGTTTTCAGGTCTGTTTTATAGTGTTGATTAGTCCTTAAAAAGTTCGGAAAGCTTTTGCATATGAATGCATGAAAGATATCCAAGGTAAATTTCACTAAACCTGCATGATATTGTATTGGATCATCTGTACTTATCTTTCGTTTTTCAAGTAAAAATAACCAGGAATTTGAATTGAAAGCGTAAAATATATTTTCGTAAACATTCAAATACGTAAGTAATGTTCAAAACAATATAACCCGCCATAAATAGTTTGTTTGCCTTGAGAATGTCCAAAAATTTTGAGCCATCCCATGGACATTGTATTTTTATCTAAATTTCATGGTAAGGCTTTTTTTGCATTGCATTTACCAAAAACACTGTATCGCGTCTTCTCACACTGTTTATAAAAAATGAAAAATGTTTATTCTTATCCATGCTTTCATAATGTACATATTGTGCGCGAGTGGTTTCACTGCAAAGTTTAGATCATTTTTTACGTCATTTCATGTTCGATTATAGTACAGACCCATAGAAAACTGACTTTGATTTGTTTTGTTAACATAACAAAGTCGAAAAAAAATTGAACAAAAAGACAAGTAAATAGTTTGAAAAAGCCATTTCATCCGCTCGCTTAGTGCGCGTGACGGATGTCGTAAGCACAAGCAGGTCTAGCCTCTAATCGACAATGGTTCTAAACCAATCAGCGCGCGAGAAATTTTCAAGTTATGGTAAAAACAGATATGTTGCGTGTTGATTAAAGTAACGGGTAACCATGCTTGCGTATTGCCTATTATTGAAGTAGCTTTCAAAGTTCCCCTCTTAGGTTTCGTTGAAGTTTGCTAGTGTGTAAAAAAAATTCATAAACAACGAAAGGCAGTTCATCCATTGGCATGTTAGTTTGGGCTCATAAGACCTTTCTAATTTCTAATTTTCTAAAATGGAAAAGCCCAAAA